GCTGCATATAAGATTCTTGGGTCAACCTTTTTTTTTCTCAGGACTGTGCAAATATTGATTGACTGTGTTTTGCCATTGGATGGTGCTGTGGAACAGTCTAAAGGCAGCCTTATTTCCTCCCTTGTTGCTAATTTGCATTTTCTGCCTGTATGACTGAACAATTATTTCTTTATTCTTAAGTTCAAATACCTTAATTAATTGAAGTTCCTAAGCAATGAGAATTCTGCATCAAATCACATTGGAACACAGATTATTCCTTCAAAGTATAGATTCCATTTTTCCTCAGTTAGGTAAAATTTTCTTATAAATATATCTTCTGCCTCATTTGTTAGGTTCTCAATTTTTTTTAAGATTTTATTTATTCATTTATTTATTTAGAGCATGAGCAGGGGGAGTGGCAGAGGAAGAGGGAGAGAGAGAATCTCAAGCAGACTCCACGCTGAGCTCAGAACCCAACTCAGGGCGCAATCCCACAACCCTGAGATCATGACCTGAGCTGAAATCAAGAGTCAGACGTTTAACCGATTGAACCATGAGATACCACATTGTTGGGTTCTCTATTTTAAGGATATTAATTATCCTTATGTTGTATCATCCTTTTTTCCCTAACTGTTATCTCATCTCCAAATAATTTCATCTCTTTATATTTTTCATAGTATTTCCTTTATCTCAAGCTTTTCTTCTATGTCATTAATTTTTTTATCATTATTTAAATTCAGTTAGCCAACACCTAGTACATGTCATTAATTTTATTTTTTACCAGTATCTACTCTGTTTCTTATAGCTTATACTTTATTTTTAGTTCCACGATCATGTGATTTGGTCCTCAATTTAGTCTTTTAAGTCTGTGATCTCCTAAGATTGTGAGAAAATTCTTTATGTTTCTTAATTTTATTTTCTTCTAAGTATTATTTTTTTCATATTCTGTCTCCCTCTCTTTCCCCTTTCTCTCTTCCTCTCTCCCTCTCTCTCTCTCTCTGTCCTTCCCTCCTCACTGCTTCTTTTCTTTTTATTCATGTTCATACTTGCAGAATTCTTCTCCACATGTCCTGTTTGCTCTAATATAGTGTAGGTGAAATCTTGACACATCCCAATTAAGATTAGTTTGATTTTTCCTCTGAACTACAGTTTGAGGCCAATGTTTTTCATTCCATCTACTCTCAAGTATGTTAAGAAACGTTGGAGGGTGGGGGGAGATGAGAGATGGCAATGTCTGTTAGAATACATGGGCTCTGCTCTTTCTTTTAAGGTTCTGCTATATTTCTTATCTGATAATCCACCCCACCTAATTAGAGGTTTATCTCCTTTCCATGGGGAGGTGGGGTAACTCTCAGGCTTTATGTCACTTCCCCACTCTAGTTCCAGAATGTCTACCTCTTTAGAGATGCAGACCCATTCTCACCCATTTCTCCACAGCAGTTGTTCCCACTGTTCCAGTCAGAATAAGGAAAAGATTGACATTTTAATTCCACTAGTTTCTTTCCAGATTTTGAAATACAAATGAGAAGTCTTATGATTTTGTGGACTTGCCAGTAGGGCTTCTGAGACTGGTGGTGAGGGTCAGGAGCTGAGGCATGCTGCCTCTCTATTCCAATCTATAATCCCCATTTTTTTCTTGGAACCAGATTTTGAAGTTTACTGAATTATGTTATGCCACTGACGTTGCTCATAATGTCTTTGGGAGGGCCTGGTTTTTCACTTTTCCGATAATGTAGGTATTATGAGAAGACAATTTTTTTTTTAAAGATTTTATTTATTTATTTGACAGAGAGAGACACAGCGAGAGAGGGAACACAAGCAGAGGGAGGGGCAGAGGGAGAAGCAGACTCCCCGCAGAGCAGGGAGCCCGATGCGGGACTCGATCCCAGGACCCTGGGATCATGATCTGAGCTGAAGGCAGTCGCTTAACCAACTGAGCCACCCAGGCGCCCGAGAAGACAATTTAATGTAGTTGAATAACACTCCCTGTCCAAAGTCCTGGGCTCATATTGTCTCCTAGACACTCACTGGTGAGTGAAGCAAGACATTTCATTCTGACACTGGTCAGAGTTCATGACAGGGTATTAAAACAGTCCATTGTGGCATGAAAAAGAACCAGCATGCCCTTAAAGTGTCCCCAAACATATCTTGTTGTCTAGGGAGGGAGATATTACTTTAACCCTTTACATGTGTCACTAGAGACTTACCTCTTTCCGTGTCTGAGCCCCTCAGAAATCAATATTCTAATTAGAAAACAGTAGCTAATCTGACCCAATGCTAATAAATGAGAGTTGTGATTTATCTAGCAACAGGGAAACAATTCAGCATTAACAATTAAAAGTCTGTAGAGAAGAGAGCTTTTTTTTTTCTCTCTCTTCTCCTTAGCTGATTGGGTTCAGCCAGATGCTATAAATAGTCCTCTAGTTAATGGCTATCTGTTTGAAAGTCAGTCATTAGAACCATAGTTTAGGAACTTTTACCTCTGAGATTCATAGGCTCTATTCTATTTCTCAATGATAAGGGTAAGGAAATGGTGATGTAAGTTAAACCTGAATCTACTTATCCACAAAGACCAAACTACATCATAGCCTACCAGGGTGCTCCTCAGGCTTTGTTATAACAGATACAGATTTTTAAATAATCAGTTCAACTGCAAGGAGAAGTATTAATCATAAATAGAGCCAAAATGGTTGACTAAACCCTGTTGCATTCTAGTCATTTTCATATAGTTATAGGATAAAGTCGAAGTTTACATCAAAGGCATGAGTTTGCAATTAGCTGAACAAGGTCCTTCAGAAATCTCCAAAGAATTACTTTTTCTACATTAAACAAATCAACTGAGTAGTTACCTTTACTTTAACCTGAACAAACAGATCAAGGGGGAGAAATAGTATGTCTAAATCAAATTGAATGGTGATCTAGAGAACACTTTCCAGAAGGACCCTCTTTGGGAAATGCCACTCAGTGCTAGAGTAAATCTCATATTTCAGTGGAAGGTTTGTCATTCACAGTAGAAGCACATTTTAAGTGTTTCCTTTTGGTATTTTCTATTTCACCCAATATGGTCTACTTACATGATACCCATGCAGAGCTCCTAGCAGGTCCCTGAACCTGCCATATTGTTTCATGACACCAAGCATTTATTCAAACTGTTTCCATTATGTAGATGACCTTGTCTGGTCCTCAACCACTCAAGACCTAGCTATCACATAATTTCCCCTATTCAGCCCACTACCACCACCACCCTCCAACCTGAGGAAACTTATTACCACCTCCTTTGGGCCTCCACCTTATCTGTACATCTTTCTGTCTTAACATTAGTAAACTTTAATTCCACTTGATTGGTTTCTTGTTCATCTCTCCCCAGGGAGAAGGTCTTATTCCTATTCATATAAACAATAACTATATGCTTGTTGAATATACAAGTGATTATTCAACATTATTGAGCACCTGCTCTTTGCCCATACTTGCTAGAAGTAAAAAAGACATAGATTTTTTTTAAATCTCTAGTCTCAATGAATTCATGACCCAGTGGGGGAGACTAGACTCCTCTACAACTAAACTCAGTAAGCCTAAGACAGGGGTCTGGACAAGTGCTGAGACTGAGCTGTTAATTGGCAAGGCAGCGAACATGTAAAGTCCCCATGTTTTAATATATCTTCTATAGTTTTCATGATCCAAACACACCTGCTTCAATCATATGTTTCACATTGCTTGCTAATGTCTTCTTGGCATAGTCTAAACCTATGCTTCTCAAATTAACATTCACAGATATCACCCCGGGATTTTGTTAAAATGCAGACTCTGATTCAGTAGGTCTGTGGCAGGCACTGGGATTCTGCATTCCTAACAAGCTCCCAGAGGATGCCACAGCTGCTGGTCCACAGACCACACTTTGAGGATCAAGGCTCTAAACACTTGCCATGTCAACGCATAAACATAGTTGAAGTGGCATCAGTTTTTGGAAAAGCTCCCACTGCTCCTTACCTAGGTAGTCTTCTAAGTATAATTAAACATGATGAAAGTTACACCAAGAGAAGTAAGATTCAATAGTGTCTCCCCGCAAAAAACTGATGCCTTGAAATGGTTACTTCTTAGTCTTTTTAATTTCTAAACACAAGAGGTCTTCGTTCCTGCACTTGAGGTCTGCTGCTACCAGAACTCTGTGGTCTGAATGTGTAGCAAGATTTTCCCAAATCTTCAAGATTGCCATTTTTAAATCTATCCCATACTTATAATACCCAGGACCTTCTGCAAATGGAGGTCTTTTAACAAAACTACAAAACCTTAATCACCTTAAACAATCACAAAGGACAAATGTGGTGAAAAATGAAATTAAAGAGAATTTTGGAAAATAAATACCAAGCATTTTATATATAAAAAAACAATCATAAAAGAAATACTTTTTTAATGCAACTTGCTTAAAATAAACATTGTAAGGTATCCATGGAAATCTAGTTTCTTATTAACTCTTAATGGTTCCTATGACATCTATTTACTTTTTCAGTTTGTCAGAGCCTGCAATTCATCACCAAAGTCAAAACTCACTAGACCATGAGACTTTGGGCCCCCACTCTACCTATACATTTCTGTCATGTGTCAGTTTTGAATTCTCCTTCCACAAAGGCAAGATCCCTATTTGATCCCTACTTGAGCTGTCCTCTTTTGCAAGTGTTCTTCCTCTCTTCCTCATGACTCCAACCAGACCAAGTGTCCTGTGCGTATCTTTTCCTAAGCATGTAGAGAAGACATTACAAGTCTTCGTATTGCTATTCAACACCATCTTAATTTCAGTAATATGTTATTTGAGAAGCAGTCTTGGTTATTTGGTTATCTTGCACAGTTAGTTTTTGCATCACTTTCCCTGACAACACAACAGTGAATGAAACAGTAGTAGAATTGTTTTTATCATACAGGACATTTGGAAGGCACTGGATGCCTTCGCTTACTTGATGTCAGAGTCTGGAGAGAACTCTTCTAAATGTTCTTTCTTCCTTCTTACCACTCATGGTCTCATTTAGGTTAATGCCAAAGATGATGAAGGCGTCCTTGTTGGATCCTGGGACAATATCTATGCCTATGGTGTCCCCCCATCAGCCTGGACTGGAAGTGTTGACATTCTGTTGGAATACCAGAGTACTAAGAATCCAGTCCAGTATGGTCAATGCTGGGTTTTTGCTGGTGTCTTTAACACATGTAAGTAGCCAATTGAGTAACATTTTTTTTTTAATGCAAAAGGAATTTTACTTCAAGACACTTTATCTATAAACTGGCAAAGAGACCTAGCAACCCTGTTAGCTCTAGAATTTATAGATGGCTATTCTGGGATGTAGTCAATGCATAATTAAATTGTACTGGGCCAAATATGCTCATAGTTTCTCTTTGACTGCAGAATCTTTATAGAAAGAATGATGGACTATTTCCTACATAATCCATCATTCAACACCCAGAGAAATGGGGGTCTCAGGGGCCAAGAAATGATGTGAGGGAAAGGATATGCCATTTTCTTTTCAGTAACCTCCCACATTTTAAAAAGGTTAAATTAACAAAATTTAAAATGATAAATAATAATAGATATATACTGCTTATTTGTTATTGAAAAGTGTTATAAATATGTTTATTAGCTTATTATTTACCACTGAGAGGTTTAATAAATATATGCACTTAATTTTTACCCTGGTTGTGGGAGGGATTGTGACAGGTGGTTTCATCTCCATTTTTACATGGGAATCTCAATGCCCCTGAGCAATTAGATATCCGAACTTAATAAACAGTCTTTACTCCCCACTTTCCCTTCTGGTTTTTAATCTACCCAACATCTAATCTATAGAGGAAAACATATGGGAACAGAATTATTCTCTTCAGCTCCATGCATCATTTTTTGAAATGCCATTTGCCTGTCTAGGCCCAGACAATATTATTGTTAATTCAGTGACTATTTTTAAAAATACATTTATTTCAGTATGTCTTCATCATTAGTAACGATTTTCATTCACTTGCCATTTCTACAGCCTTGGAGAAAACATTAAGCTCAAGTTGGAGTGTCTGTCTGCTTGCTCATTAATAAAGAATGTTTTACCTAGTTAGCATTTTTCTTTTAATCAGAAAAATCAAGGAGGGGCTAGAGGCTGGAAGCCAGGATGAGGCCATTTTTTATAAATGATCATGAAGCCTCGCAGTTTTAGCTCAAAGTTGCAACAGTCCAAGATTAGTCAGTGATCCAAGTGGGAAGAAATTATGCGTCTTGTGCTTTTGTTTTTCTATGGTATTAAACTGAATAAGATTATTTTCTTAGCCAGTAGAGTATACCCAAGGGCTAAGGGAATATATTTTCTGAGAGCAATAAAGGCCAGTGTATCAGTTTCCTGGGTGTGCTGGTCTCTGAGGTTCTAGATAGAAGCTGAACTTCATGATGGGCTAACAATTAGAGGTAGCCCCCCTCCCTCACTATTTCCAAGCCCAGACTATGTAGAGGGTGCCTGATGGGAGCAGCTACTCTTAGGAAATGCTTCCAGGAAAACAGAAAGGACCCTCTGCCTTGTGTCTTCCTGCTGTCTAGAATTTCACTATCCCAGTGTAATTCCTTCAGGCTTCGAACCAGATAAAATAGTGAACACCTTCCATCCATTTATGCCTTTTGTATGAAAGGGTCATCAGATCTATCCCTGAAAACAGGCTTTGGTGGTAAGCTAAGAAAAAGGCAGAAGCACATGTGAGGAAGTCACAGTAAGAATAGACCCCAAGAGGGAAGTTGGAAGGAGGGAGGCATAGGTGCCCCAGTGTCAGGCTTCACCTGCCTTAAAATTATGAGGTCAGGCAAAATCTGGAACAATTCTCATTCTGTGAGTTAGTGGTAAGCCAGAAATAGAGCTAGAGTGCCAATCATCTTACTGGTAAAACTTTGGCTTGAATAGGGTCTGTGAATCAATACAGGAAGATGGAAGTAGGAAGCAGGTGGTGGCTGCCTTCATTTTTGTTTGGGGTATTAAGATTAAGTCAGTTAATGAGGACACTTGAATGCTACCAGACTCAAGTTTGGATTTCCAAGGTTGTTCTATTGAAGGAGGTGGATAGCCTTTGGTTAAAAATGCTAAACTATTCTGAGAAAAAAAAGGCAAGCCAAGCCATTAATCTTAAAATTGTCAGCTGAATTATTTTCAATGAGCCCTGATGTCTGGCATCCTGGGAGCCAGGGAGGGCATTTGGATTGAGTTTAATCAATAGGTACATATGGCAAAAGATGCATCCAGGTAATTTATTATCTAGCAATTAAAATGAATCTGTGGTGTCACCCTCCACCAAGTGTCATGAGAGCAAATTCCAGCCAGGAGAGCAAACCCCACTGAGGACCTCTGTTATAACTTCCTATTAGCTGAGGGTTTTTTGTTGTTGTTGTTCCAGTTAATTTTTTTTTATTCATTTCAGAGGTAGAATTTAGTAATTCATCAGTTGCATGTAATACCCAGTGCTCACTCCATCAAGCACCCTCCTTAATGCCCAGCACCCAGTTATCCCTTCCCCCCACCCACCACCCCTTCAGCAACCCTCAGTTTGTTTCCTAGAGTTCAGTGTCTTTTTTGGTTTGTCTCCCTCTCTGATTTCATCTTATTTTATTTTTCCTTCCGCTCCCCTATGTTCATCTGTTTTGTTTCTTAAATTCCACATACAAGTGAAATCATAATGGTATTTATCTTTCTCTGGGGCACCTGAGTGGCTCAGTCAGGTAAGCCTCTGACTTCGGCTTAGGTCATGATCTCAGGGTCCTGGGATCAAGCCCCGCATCAGGCTCCCCACTCAGCAGGGGAGTCTGCTTGTCCCTCTCTTTCTCTCTCTGCCCCTCCCCCGGTTTGTGCACTCTCTCTCTCTCAAATAAATAAATAAAATCTAGCTGAGTTTTTAAAAAAATTTTATTTTCAGGAACATAGTCCTATTAGATGGACTAAAATAATACTACTTTAGTGATTTTATGATTAGCAACTAAACAATTAGAACCCCATTATTGGGATTTTAGTACTTTTATTCCATTTATTCTGAATGATCACACAGCAAGGTTCACTCCATAGTCCTGAAGCTTGACAATAGTCCCCTTTCTTCAGTAGGGAACATCTGATAACACATGCAAAGGGTTTTTCTTTTTGGTAAAGAAGGAAGTCCCTTATGATAAGGAATTGTTCACTATATATTTATTAAATTTTGGTGATGGGTTTTGTTGTGGTCTGTCCTTTCCTGCAGTTTTGCGATGCCTTGGGATACCAGCAAGAGTCGTTACTAATTACTTCTCAGCCCATGATAATAATGCCAATTTGCAAATGGACATCTTCCTGGAAGAAGATGGGAACGTGAACTCCAAACTCACCAAGGATTCAGTGTGGTGAGTTTGATTTACAAAGGCACTTGCTGATATCAAATTAGAGTGACAATACACATTAACCACAAGACAGAATGGGTCTGATGTTTCTTTCCCTTCTATTTTAAGGACTGTTCAATACCATAGGTAGAAATGTCTGATTGGTAGAGATTGCTTTTAGCGAATGAATGAGAATTGTTACTGCACAGGCAGTTTGCGTTTCTAGTAATAAAGATCAATCATTGCATTACAACAGCAACCACTGAAAAGGGTCATGGTTTTAGCTATGCCTTTAGGCTAGAGCCCATTCTAGTTCCTCTCCACTTTAGTATGAGAATATTATGGTGAGTGGCAGAGGTATTGGACCCGAGTATTCTCTATGTCAATACTCCAGGAATAATATAGCCAACATTTATTAAGCACTTACTATGTTATGTACCAGTGTCTCTGTGTATGTGCTTGTATTTTATTCTTTTAACAGCTATATCATGTGGGTGCTTATTAGTATCTCCATTTACAGAGGAAGAAACTGAGGCCCAGAGAGGTTAAAGTAATTTGCTCAAGGTCACACATCTGATAAGCTGAGAATAAAACCCAAGTGCATCTGACCATTAACCACAATTTTTTTTTGCCTTTGCAGTATTAGATTGTTCTCTTTTTTTAAAGATTTATTTATTTATTTTAGAGAAAGAGGGAGAGAAAGAGAGTGCACAAGTTGGGGGAGGGGCAGAGAGAGAATCTTAAGCAGACTCCCTGCTGAGTGTGGAGCCTCACCTGGGGCTCGATCTCACAACCCTGAGATCATGACCTGAGCCAAAATCCAGAGTCAGATATTCAACTGAGTGAGCCACCCAGGTGCCCTTGGGATTGCTCTTTGAATGTAAAGATGTGGTTCTCCGTGATTTGTGACCTCATCTTTCAAACAGAGATAGGAATGGGAGTAAAGTTGAAATTGTCACTAATACCAACCACATCATTCTTTCATTGCCCTGAGCAGCTACACCACAAGCTGGTTACAGGGGGTTTAAGATCCCAAAGAAATTTCCTATGTCCATGGGACCCACTCAGTCCAAAACAATATTCTAAAAAGAGGTGAGAAAACCCAAACGTAAGGGATATTTATGAAGGTCTGTGTGAGGGAAATTGCCAGGCTCTGAACTAGTTGGAATATCCAAGCCAAAAGTGTGTCACCTAAGGTTGTTCTTTATAAGTAATAAAGTGAAAAGACTGTCAGTTGTAAAAGCATCCAAATGGGGATGGGAAGAAGTTACGAGCTCATTTGAAGAGAAATTAAAAGTTAGAAGTGCCTTAACTCCCCCGTGTTACAGGAATGGATCACAGTGGTAGGAGCAGTATTAACTTGCCAGGACTGGTAAACACGCTCATTGGAGGATGTGGAAAGAAGGAAATCGGGGAACTAGCAGCAGAGTGGTACTATGAATAAAAAATAGTGCAGTTCACTTGGAGGGAATGAGCTGAGCAATGGTAAGCAAGAGAGTACAGGCAAGACAAAACCTCACCTCTGTAAATTGAACAGCAATTTAAAGCATCATTTCAGTCCTTGGAATTACAGTACAGCAGCCCAGCATGTATATGGAATAACAAAAACAGACCAAAATAGCTGCCCCAAAAGCCTGTTGTGACAGTAGAAAATAGCAAAATGAGAATTATTTGGTATTCTGTTCTGTGCACCTTTCCTTACACACACACACGCGTGTGCGCGCGCACGTACACACATGCTTAATGCCTTGGTAGCCAACTGCAGTTTGAAATTATTCCTCCCTATTCCTTGATCTAAATGCTTCCACCATGAATCCCCATGGGCACCCTAACAAATAACCCCACGAAGCCCTAAACAAAATTGATAGCAAATTGTGAAGCTGATCGATCTTGCTCTTGGTAACGCTCTCATCTTTCGGCTTCCTACTCTGAATTCCTTTCCCTGTCCCTGTGAACTGCCGCTCCCTCGTTACCTTCCACAAATGTCCCATCACCCTGGGACTCTGTTCCCTGGTCTGGGGGCCTCACCCATGCTCCACCAACAGACCATTGCCCTGGGCTCTTATTCCCTCCCCTTGTTTGTCTCATGGTGGGCTTACAACATATGGTGACTGTCATCTCACTAACTGGCTGACGTGAACTCAATTTGGGACACGTCTGACCATGCAACACAAAGATTAAAGGGCTCAGTCAGGTCTGAGTCCAAAGCCTGGCTCTGCCACTGACCAGCTGTGTGACCTTAGACAAGGCACCACCTCTCTGTGCCTCTTTCCTTCTCTTAAGGTAGAGATGACAGAATTTCCTATTTCACTCAGCCCAGAGCAGAGCATAACAGGTGCCTAATGAATGTTAGCTGTCATGATTGCCTTCATTATTAGTCACGCAGCTGGAATTTCTTGGAGGCAATATGTTGCCATCAACCTAAGCACGTTGAAGCAGTCAGAAAAAAAGAGGGGTGTCCCACGTCCTAAGATGACTGTGCCATTTCTGTACCTTTGGGGTATTTTTAAAACAAAAGCAGAAGTTTATGTCTCCCCTCCCACACACACACCCCAGTGCAAACACTAGTGGACCCTACGAACTATAGAAGTTCCATAAAACCAAAAGAATCTCTAGGGCCCTCCCTGATTGAGAAAGCCAGTGGGGGCTTTCCCTGGATACATCAATCAGTACATGGTCACCACAGCTACACCGCCACGCAAGCTCTGGCTTTGACAGTTACTTGCTGTGTGACCTCGAGAAAATGACTTCACCTCTCTGAGCTTTGGTTTCTTCATCAGTAGAATGAGGGTAACCATTTCCTGATGGGGTAGGTGTGACATTTAAATGAGGTAATACAGGTAAAGGACTTACCATAGTGCTAGGCCCAGAGGGGGTGCTCCTCGGTGCCTGCTAATGAGATTAGTAATAGCCAGGCATGAGAAGCAGGAGGGGCCTGAGCTATAGCGTGGTGAGCAAGCAGGGGGCAGGGCAGAAGGCTAGAGGCTGAGGTGAGGGCAGGGAGGACTTGGTGGGCATCAGCTGACCATTGAGAAGCCAGCACGGCATGGCTGACAACACATGGCCTAACGAATTTCCTAGCAGGGGTCTCAGGAGCAAGTGGCCTCCCCCAAGCCTCCAGACTCAATTCCTTCCACAGGCTCCAGTTGGACAAACTCGCCCCAACTCCCTCCTGGTTTGTGCATGGCTCTTGCCCTCCCCACCCTGCCCCCTCCTCTCTTCCTCCTCTCTTTCTAAAGGCAACCATGAGAATGACTTCTTGCTTTCTCTGTCTTGTACCTCTACCATCTCTTTAACACTGAGGTATCCTGATGGTACACAGTTTGTGGTGAATTAATTTGTCCAGCTGGGTCTCCATGACCGTGACCGAAAGCGTCCTCTTCGGCCAGGTCCAGCGTGGCCCAAGCAGAAGTAAGCCAGTACAAAGAGTTCAGAGAGCCAGCGCAAGAATGCTTTCAAGGGCATACTATGCGCGGCCCTCCCCAAGGCCATGGGGGGCGGGGGTGCAAAGCATGGATTTCAGCCCATGCTCTGACTCTTCTCCCTTTAGCACCAAAGACCATGGAGGGCTGACTGCTTATGTCCCTGCTTCCTGGTTTGGCACCTCAGGTCCCTCCATGGTGGATTTCCCCTCTGAGAGTGCCTCACCTCACAGGGAGCGGCAATTTTGCAGAGTGGACACACTGTGGATGCCCACAGAGGGAAGAGGCTGCTTCTTAGAGATTCGGGAGAGGGAGGGGCCAAGGAACCTTAGAAGGGTACAGCTGGGCAGAGTAATTGGACCTCACTGTAGCAAATGAAATTCTGCGTGGACCAAGGCAAGGTAACATATCCTGGAAGCAGCAATTTAAGCCGCCTGTCCCCCGTGTGCCGATGGGTTTTGAATTATGTGTAACCTCTGGGGGAAGGCAACTATGAATCACTGCGGACAGTTTAATGAAGATGCTTGCACAATGTTTAGCTGCAGTGCAAACAGTGAATAGGGAGATGAAGGTTCATTGAGGAAGGAGAACACGGCTCACTCCATGGGCACGGGGTAAAGTGATGGTTTGGCCTCACCTTGCAAGAAAGAGCTCAGTTTGATCACCTCATTATATGACTATCACAGTGGAAATGGAAACAATGTCAAAAGAAAGGGATGGTGGCACTTATTAGTGTCATGAAGGTTTTTCAGTGAAAGGCTCTTCTCCTTCTAAATGAAAGCATTATCCTGTGTCATTTTTGCTGTAGAGGATATAGTCAGATTTGATGATTCTGGGCTGAAAGAACTATGCCCACCTCTTGGCTGGCCCCCACCAGACTGCAGCCCCCATTAAGGAGAGCAATGTCTGATCTAATTTGTTTTTGTTTGTTTTGCCAGCATGTAACAGGATGCAGGGCATAGAGCAAGGACTTAATAAATGGAATTGGTTGGAAAAAATTTTTGATGCTCATTTAACTGAATAAATGTCATTTAATTCAGTCAACAAACACTATTGTGCACTATTATGTCCAAATACCAGATTCTAAGGATTCAGAGAGAAATAAGAGTCACATCCCTTGAGGAGCTAGTTCGTGGGTGAGTCAATCACATATAGAACTCTATAAAAAATATAAGGTAGGTTGTAACATGAGCCAGGAGGCATGGAGATGAGGGGAAGGGGCTGCCATCCTAAGCCCAGGGGAGCAAAGGGAAAGGCTTTTCACATGGGAAGTGGCCATGGACTCAAAGCCATTATCCGTCCTGCAATCTTCTGGTTGTGCTGTTCACAGACGGAATGCCCAGGAAGTGACCTTAGCCCACAGATGAAACTCAGGGGTATGTCTATAAAAGTCAAAAGCCCTGAGATGAGACAACCTGAGAGAGAGCAATCTGCTTCAAGGACCCAGCAGGAAGGAATGAAAGCTCATACAGAGTTAGCCTCTATTCTTATGACCACGGTTGTTGAATATCAAAACTCATTCTAACTCACCTTCCAGCCCCTTGCCACTCCTGCCTTTATATCAAGAACTCCTGGCTCTTTGCCCACCTTCCTGAAGAAGCT